ACGTGACCCCGTCCCTCATCCCTGTGGGGGAAGGGAGGGGGCGGCTGCACCCTGCGGGCTCAGGTGCACCACTGCCGGGAAGAGCCGATCCCGTGCCTGTAAGAGCTAATTTCGATGCAGAAGGTTCCCTTCCATTTGTCATTACTATTCATGCCACCGTCAGGCTAAACATAGCAAGTTAACCCTTTGGAGGAGGGACCATGGAGAATGTTTCAAAGCAGAGGAATAATGCAGGTTTCCTCCTGGAAGAGTGAGGTTCATGGAGGTTCAGCCCTAGAGATGTTGGAGAGGGAGCTGGGGCAGCTTTTCTGCTCCCCAACCACTCAGCTCTGAGGCAAGGCAGAATGATGGGGATGTGCCACCAGGATACCCACCAAGTGCCACCGGGACCTGACTATCAACAGGCACAACACCCCACCCACATCCTTCACCCCAATCAGCAATCCTCACACACAGTTCACAGACCTGTCCCACAGGGACATCTGCTCCTGGTGGGTGGCATCACTAGTGCCCATGGCATGGAAGGTCCCACAGTTCTCTATGGGGACCCTGCCAGCCCATCCCAGGGTCAGCCTGTCCCTTCACAGGCCCTGCACTGCTGCTCTGGCTGACACTTTCTCCTCCCCTTTACAGTTCTCCAAGGAGAAATACATCCTTGACTCATCACCGGAGAAGCTTCACAAGGAACTAGAAGAGGAGCTGAAGCTGAGCAGCACTGACCTGCGCAGCCATGCTTGGTACCACGGCCGCATCCCCCGGGAGGTGAGGAGGGGAAGATGGGTGGCTCTGGGCACCCTTTGCTTGGGCTGCTTGGAGAGAGCACCTCGAGGCCACACAGAGCCACCAGCCTGCCCTCCTGGGAAGCCTCTGGGCAAGGGCTTCATTGGCCCCAAGCTGTCCGGCTTTGCCATGGGAAATGCTCTCCTGCAGCTCAGAGCCAGGGGGAAGGGGAACAAGCCAACACTCCAAATAACACCCCAGCAGAGCATTCACAATGCAGCATGGCCACGCCTGACCCGCTGCCCTGTCCCCTGCCAGGTGTCCGAGAGCCTCGTGCAGAGGAACGGCGACTTCCTCATCCGCGACTCGCTCACCAGCCTGGGCGACTACGTGCTGACGTGCCGCTGGCGCAACGAGCCCCTCCACTTCAAGGTCAACAAGGCGACGGTCAAGTCCAGCGAGGGCCATACCCGTGTCCAGTACCTCTTCGAGCAGGAGAGCTTTGACAACGTGCCCGCCCTTGTCCGCTTCTACGTGGGCAACCGCAAGGCCATCTCCGAGCAGAGCGGGGCCATCGTCTACTGCCCCATCAACCGCACCTTCCCCTTGCGCTACCTGGAGGCCAGCTATGGGCTGGCCAACGGCAAGCACGGGGGACCCCACAGCCCCACCACCCAGAAAGGGGGACACATCAAGAGGAGGAGCATCACCATGACGGACGGCCTGACGGCAGACAAGATCACCAGGGCTGAAGGGTGCCCGACCAGGTGAGCGTACGGTCTTGTCCCGGCTCAGCTGAGCAGGGGACCAGCTCCCAGGGTGCAGGGCAGGGGTTGAGGATGAGGGAGGGAAGGAGAACAGCAAAGATATGGGCAGAGGAACGGGTACCCAGCTGGAACTAGGGTTTTCTTCCAGGCTGGCTGCCAACCACACTGAGCTACCGCAGCAGACGCCCAGTGGGCAGACATGACTTTAACATCACAGACGAGAAGCCAGAGAGTGTTTTATAATCACTCAGTCCAGGATTACCAGCATGTCAGGGCTTGTCAGAACCAGGGAGCCAAGCTTTCCCAGGCAGATGTGAGGAGAGAGCCAGTCCTAGCCTCCAAAAGGGTATCTGTTGGTTTATTTTTGAAGGGGCATTTTCATTTCAGAGCTTATTCTGTTCAGCTGGAGCATTTGCATGGAGTTACCAAGATGAGCTGAAATCCTAATGGGCAGGAGGTGACTGATGGAACTGTGCTGATGAGGGTCTGTACAGCCCCCAGATGACAGCCTCCCCAAGGCTGATCTGCTCACATTAACCAGAGGTGGAGAAGGAGATTTCCTTTGCACAGCTTGTGCGTCCCCGGGCTGTCCAGAGCCCAGCAGGCAAGGCAGGGCCACATGTACCTCCTCACAGAAAACAGCTGAGGGGGTCCCATCTACTCCTGCCTCCCCAGCAGGACACAGCCTGTCATTGAACCAAGCCACTTCCTCACCACCCCAACCTTCTCAGCCCAAGGGCAGGGCAAGAATGCACCAGCAGAAAAAAGGCAACCGACTGTTATGGCAGGGAAAAGGAAAACACTCAGGCTCCCAGGAGAGCATATGTGCTTCCAGAAGAAGAGCCCAGATCCATCAGTCTTTCCTCATCACTCACATTTTCCCCAATCCCCTTATCACCACCACTGCACTCCCATCCTCCTCCTCCCTCTGCAGAGGCTCATGCTCACAACCAAACACATCACAGCAGCCCAGCTCTCACCCATGGTGGGGAGGACAGTGTGTTACCTGCCGTGCCTCCTCACAGCCCTCCCTGCACTCAGGCCCCTCAGACACATCTTTTGCAGCACCATTGACACACAGCGTTTGCATCAGGCCACAGCTGCTGCCCAGGACCTCCTTGCTGACTACACAGCTCCTTGAGCACACACGCTGCAGCTCACCAAGCTCTGAGTCCAGTGTCCAGCACCTTCCACCTCTAAGCTTTGGGTCAGAGCACAGCTCACCATCCTGACACAGCTCTCAGGAAACTGAGTAACACACCCATCACCAGATATCACTTAGCAACACAGACCTAGAAAACACCACCCCCCACCCGCCTCCAAATTCTTTGCCAGAGGTACTTCCCCACAGCACCCTGGAACCAAACTGAGCCATGCCATGCCATCACACCTTGGCATCAGGACATTCCTCTCCCCTGCTCCACATTTGTGGAAGAAGGGCTGTCCCTGCTTTATATAGGTGCTGGCCCCTCCTGCTCCCAGCTGCTTGCGGGTGCTGCCCACTCAGTGCTCCAGCTGAGCTCTGTGGACTCAGCTTGTTATGGGTGGCTGTGGAAGGTGATGACCTAAGGGAAGGTGGTGGGGCAGCAAACCTTCACCCTATCCCCGGGCCCTGTGTGCAGGGACTAACCTGCCCCATCTGCCCCCTCCACAGCGTGTCCCTGCCCCACCACAGGGACATCATCCGCAACTGTGCCGTCAGCGTGGACCAGATCCAAGACCTGCACTCCCCGATGTCCCCCATCTCCGAGAACCCAGCGTCACCCGCCTACAGCACGGGTAGGCACCCCCCTCTGCCCCACCGGGGACGTGGGCCAGGCTGGGCTTGGCACGGGAGTGGTGTGGGGACCTGGGGAGGGGGACAGAGCTGGCTGCAAAGAAAAGCCCCTTGTGCACTCCCTGCTAGCAAAACCCCTTGCACAGCAAAACCTGTCCTGAGGGAGGGCTTGAGCTGGGACCTGTCCTCAGCCTCATCCTCCTGTGGCTCTCCTGGGACCTACTGAGCCCATTTGGGCAGGGGCCCTTCCTTCGCTGAGCTCTGTGTCCCCACGCTGCCCCGTCCCTGCTCCCCCTGTGTGCTCGTGTCTCCAGGCTCTGGTAACAGCTCTCCTCTGCTCCCCGCAGTTACGCGGCTAAAGCCCCACGCCTGCCAAGCGGCCGGGATCACCCCGGCCTCTCCGGTCATAAGAAGGTCCAGTGAGCCCCAGCTGTGCCCAGGGAGCAACAGCAAAGCTCTGCCAGACCCTGCCCACAGCACCCACTCGACCCCCTGCCATGGGTATGCCCGCGCCTCCCCCTCTCCCTCCGTGAACAGCTACAGCGACCCGGACACGGGGCATTACTGCCAGCTCCACCCCACCTCGCCCATCAGCAGAGACCGGCCAGCTCACGACACCAAGCAGATGCCAACAAAGAGCTACGTGGAGAGGCTAAAGGTGGAGGAAGGACAGAGAGGGACTGTGGAGAATGGCTCCGGGGAAGCAGAGGCAGGGCAGAGGCTGAAAGGAGAGCTGGACTTCATGGGCTTTGTGCCGCCCACCATGGAGACGACCTCCTCCTTCAACCCCGCGACCTTCCAGTCCCGGCTCATCCCCCTGGAGAACAAACCCCTGGAGATGGCTGTGCTCAAGAAGGTCAAAGAGCTGCTGGCAGAGGTGGACGTGAAGACGCTTGCCAAACACA